CAGTTCTCCCGGTCAGAATGCCCCCTTAAAATAGATGCCCCAATCAGGGTACCCCTTACATTAGTTGCTGCCATCAGAGTACCCCCTTACATTAGTTGCCCCAATACATTAGATGCCCCCATTGGAGTGCCACCTTACATTGGTTGCTGCAATTGGAGTGCCCCCTTACATTAGATGCCCCCATTGGAGTGCCCCTTTACATTAGATGCCCCCATCGGACTGCCCCCTTACATTAGTTGCTGCCATCGGAGTGCCCCTTTACATTAGTTGCTGCTATCGGAATGCCCTCTTACTTTAGATGTCCCAATCGGAGAGCCCCCTCACATTAGTTGCTGCAATCAGAGTGCCCCCTTACATTAGATGTCCCCATCAGAGTGCCCCCTTATATTAGTTGCTGCAGTTGGAGTGCCCCCTTACATTAGATGCCCCCATTGGAGTGCCCTCTTACATTATATGCCCCCACCGGAGTGCCCACTTACATTAGTTGCCACCATCAGAGTGCTCTTTTACATTAGATGCCTCCATCAGAGTGCCCCCTTACATTAAATACAAAAAAGGAAACACTCTGATGTGGACACCAAATATAAGGGGGCACCCTGATGGGGACAAGCAACGTAAGGGGGCACGCTGATACGGACCCCAATATAATAATAATTATCCCCATCGGAGTGCCCCCTTATATTGGCTGCCCCCATCAGAGTGCCCCCTTTCATTGGCTGTCTCCATCAGAGTGCCCCCTTACACTGGTTGTCCCTAGAGTGCCCATTTAAAATGCTGCTGTCACCTTAATCCTGGAGCCCGATGAGCTGGGAGTCTGTGCTGAGAGTGGATGAGAGGCAGGAATGGGAAGAGTCGGGAGGCGGGGCAGACTTAGGGCTGCAAAGGAGGACGGAAGATGATACTCTTCCATCCTCCCTTAATGCTGGGTGGGAACAAAGTGACGTCATCGATTGCTAGGAATGCTGCGGTCCAAGCAGCCAATGACTGAGGAGCAGAGTTATTGCTGGCTGACCCTATTACAGGAAGTGGAAAAATACCAGATCCACTGATCTTGCCTTGCCATGGATGGACACTATTCACACCATCACGTTGCGGTCTAACATGATGGTGTGCGCTGACAAAAAGTATGACATGCAGCACTTTTTTCAGCGCATCAGAATGCGATGTGGAACAACCACCTTGCACCCCGCTGTGCTCGTAGAACTGAATGAAATGCCACTTGTGACATTTCAATAAGGCCTCATTCACACGAGTAACAGCGGGCCCGTACAGATCCGTGCACGGCCGTATCGGGCTGCTCCCGGGAAGGACAGGTGCTGCTTGTGATTAGTACACAGCAGCCTGTTCTCCTCTATGGGAGTACACGGGTGTACGCTCATCCGAACTGCATGTCCGTGTGGGTGCGGGTGTCCCGGCTCGGACGCACAGGATCCATCCTGTTTGCGTACGAGTACGGACACCCGCACGGACGTGCAGTTCGGGTGAGCGTACAGCCGCATACTCCCATAGATAAGAACTAGTGATGGGCTCGGGCGTGTTCGCAGCTCCACGTGCCGAGCCCGCTAGGAAGCTGACAGCGCGCAGCGCCAATCACAGGCACTGAGACATTTCCCGATCTCTGCAGCTGTGGACCGGGAACATGTCTCAGTACCTGTGATTGGCGCTGCGCGCTGTCAGCTTCCTGGCGGGCTCGGCACGTGGAGCTGCGGACACGCCCGAGCCCATCACTAATAAGAACAGGCTGCTGCGTTCAAATAACACGCAGCACCTGTCCTTCACGGGAGCGGCCGGACACAGCCGTGCATGCAGCACGGATATGTATGGGCCAGCTGTTTGTCGTGTGAATGAGGCCATCAGAAACTGGCACTTTCATCACAAACTCTTTTACTGTGATGATTTTCTGCTTTGTTCAGTAATTGGGAAGACACTGCCCTCTGCTGTTAGAAAATATTATATCACAGGCTTCGAAAAAAACAACAACTTGTATTAGGTTCTGTCAGACAGTTCCAATCCATATGATCTTTATAACTGTGCAAAGTTAAGTTTATATAATACATTCAAAGGCAACTATATGTAGACGTCATCCATTACCTGACATTGTGATGTACTAAGGTGCTGTGTGTAGCAACTACTTGAACACTTCCCTGTAGGGATGCACCAATACCGATACTAGTATTGGTGCTGATACAGAGTATCAGTACAGTCACTGACGAGGGAGCATGAAGCCGCCAGGTAGCAATCAGGAAGCCAGGTAGCGTGTAATGACTTGACGCCTAGCTTCCTGAAAGGATGGGAAACTGGCCAATCAGGAAGCCTGACGGCAAGTAATTACCTTTCCCCCCGGCTTCCTGATTGGCCCGAAAGCCGGCTTAATACTTCCTCGTCACCTTGCTAGCAGTAGATATACGTAAAAACAAAAGTGACTTTAATACTACTTTAAGTGTAAAAAAAATGAAAGTCAAATATAAAAAATGTTTTTAAGACCCTGTTAAAGAAAAACAAACGTGCACATACAAACGTAAACATGTGTCGGGTGCGCCTACATGTGAAAACATTTGCACCACACATGTTACATATCAACGTGAACGTCAGGGTCCGCGCAATAATTCTAGGGCCATCAATCACTGTTAACACTAGATTGATGAGCGGTAGCTTTTAAAGTGTCGCATATAGGCAATTTTGGGTGTTGTCGTTTTTTGCGATTTCACGGGCACGCACAATTTTAAGGTTTGACATGTTTGGTGTCTATTTACCCGACGTGAACCCGTCTTTTATATTTGACCAAAAAATTGGGGAATAAAAATTGTTTTACAAAATAGTGGAAAAGTTTTTTTTTTTTTTTTTTTAATTATCAGTATTTTTTTCTTTATATAGCAAAAAAAAAAGTGGAGATTAAATACCACCAAAAGAAAGCTCTATCTGTCCCTAAAACATATAAAATTCATTTCCGTACGGCTTTGTATGACCATTAAATGTCAAAGTACCGCAGCGCTGAATAGTGAAACATGGCCTGGACAGGATGGGGGGTTTAACACCCCGGCCATCAAGTGGTTAATTTTGCATTATTAAACATGGCATAAAAGCTGACTCGGCATCTATTATAGGCTCGGTCAGCAGTAAAAGACAACATATTGCAGGGTCAGTCAGTGTGTGAGACCCGGGGACTGTGCTGGGAAATGGGGGACCCCGATGGGGTGACTACAACATTCTGTCAGCATTTACGAGAACTGTGTCTGTCTGTACACCCCATGCCCCGTACCATGCTTCCCTCCCCACCACTCCCCCTTCCCTGTCCTGCCCCGACAATGGCGCTCTATTTCTGGAATAAATATAATTCAGAACCTGTTCCAGGCTGAACTCTTCACTTCTCACTGCACACAAATATTACCTAAATATCAGGAAATGTAAATGACTATACCGCCCTCCCCCGCTCTTATTCCGTTTGGAATGGTCGGCCCCCCTCCCACGAACTGAATGCGCTGCTCCGGGGTAGGCTATAAATAAGACCGCCCTTGGCGCTGCTCGCCAGTTCCCGCGTTTGCCCGGTTTTTAACAGTTTTATTTTGGAAGTTAGTTTGCGGTTCATATAGACGATGGTGAGTATGTCAGCCTGTCTGTCGTTCCTCCACACACAATGGCGGCTCTCCTCAGAAGACACCTGCTTATACTGCGCACTTGTTCCCTGTGCGGGGCGGGCTGGGCCTGGAACGTGTTTGTGAGGAGGGAGCGGCCTATAACGGAGACATGTGGAGGCCTACAGGGAGGCAGCGATCGGAGGGCGATCATTAGGAATACATGCTCGGCTTGTAATATACAGTGAAGGAGCCGGGGCTGTGTGCTCTATATACGGTTAAAATGATATAAATAATTTCATGGAACCTCCAAGATAATGTACAGATACAAGTGTAAGCTTAGGGCTGCCTGGGTATGTTCAGGCAACGTGTCATGGTTTTACAGATCCCCTCTCCCTCCACCAGCCGAGCAATGACCAATGCTGAGCGCACATGTTACAATCTGATCGTGCAGAACTCGAGTAATGCAAGGCCTGTTTGGACATATGGATTGAATAGATTCAGTAGATCCTTGTATAGTCTTTCTAAAACTAGCATGGCCAGATTGTAACGTATGGTGACCCCTAGGCCTCATTCACACTGGCAGTGACTTGTATTTGTTAAAAAGACATTTCTAGATGCATATAAATAAATAATGTTCTGGGTTTAGTTAGAAACTAAAGCGGGATATGCGCTGGTAGGTTTTACATTTGAGATTCCTCCATATATGCCAAACAATGTGAATGGAGGAATCTCTCCTAGTCTGTGGCTATTGTAGTTTGACAGCTGCCACTCACCAACTGTCAGAGTACCTGAACAGTAACTGCAGACCATGCTCGGACAACAATTTTCTGCCCAGCTCCTTCGGATTCAGGCCGGCAGACTGGGACATCCACTGAGCCAATTTCACCCAGTTTATCAAGAACCGGCCAAAATTCATTGGGTTGTGTAGCCACATTCAGACTGCCCATACACTAATAGGTTTGTTTGCTTATGCTGCATGCAGATAAATGCTCACTTTGAATGATACCAAAGAAAATTATGAGAATATTATGCCTCAATGCGTTTAGAAATGTCCTCTAAATGCATTTGTCAATGCCAGTAGTGTGAATGATGTCTTGACGTGGCTAAACATTTATTAAAGCGCAGTGTTGCATTAATCGCATGGTTTTGTACAATCAAAGCATGCTATTGTGCATTACAGTGCAGCAGGTGCGTTGCCATTTCTTTGGGGGTGCCATTTAAATGATGCCTGCGATCTGTGCTTTGTTCACGCAAAACTGTGATTGATGCAGCAGTGGGAACGAGCCCTCAAAGTGGACCTAACATTGGATCCCCTTTAAAATTATGTATAAGAAAAAGTTAGTTTGTGGAGAAGGAATAAAACCTTCATCACTTCTAATTGGCCTGCTGCTCTGTCCCAATCCTCTGCTGTCCGACTAGCCCCCCATGGTCCGTCACCCTCTGCCGCTGCCTCCCTCTATGGTTTTTGGGCTCCCCTGCTCTTCTGGGGGACCCGGGACCAAGGCAAGTTACTTCAGGATGGAGAGCGGGGAGCAGAACCGGAAACTTACATTCTCCGGTCTGCTCCGGGTTAACAGTGAGGTACACACAGCCTTCCCATCCATCACAGGTGCTCCAGCACAATGCTGTACTAGAGCTCCTGTATTGGAGATGACAGGTTCAATTAAGAGAACCTGTCGCCTCCAAATGCTATCACACGGGCTTGTTAGCTCCTGTGATAGCAATAAAGTAAAGTGGGAAAAAAAGTTAAAAGAAATACAAATTGCTAAAAAAAAAGTGAAATGCAAAAGTAAAAAAAATAATTTTACCGTTGGGGGTCGTGGATGTTACCAAGGGGTCCTGGCCCTAGATGAGTTTGGAACCACTGCTTCAACAGAATACACACAATTTAAAAAGGCAAAAATTAAAGTGTATCTAATTAGCGCTGCAACCAGCTAATCGATTATGAGAATAGTTGTCAACTATTCTCATTGATTAGTTGGTTGGATACCCTAGCTCTCTCCTCCATGCTGGAAGGAGGGCACAGCAAGCAGTGGGTGGGTGCAATAGGCAGCCTGCTATTGCAATTTGAAATGGCCAATAGCAGGCTGGTTATTGCACCCTTCCACTACCTGCTGTATTTACATTCAGCTGCCATCTGCCGAATCTTGCCACTGGCAGCTGTCATTCCTTAGGTGAAGCTATTCAAGCGCCATGTGCTTACAACACAATTATTAAAATATATATATAAAAGGTGGAGGAAGTCCTTTTTGGTTCCCGCCTGACAAATTCTGCTGCAGGAGGTGCGTTGTAGTGCAATTCATTTCAATGGCACCCCAAACACCTCCTACCCACAGTATGATCGCCCACACTGGAACACACGGTGCCACAATTCTGTGCGTTTCAGTGCAGAGTGATTGCAAAAAATTGTGCATGCAGTTTTATTCTGAAGTAAACTTTGTAACACTGCATTCGTTTTTTTAAATGAAGGATGATTTTTAATCTGATTTAATCGAAAAAATTATCTGCCAACTAAAGAGGACTACAACAAATCCCAGCAATAGTACATTATAAAGTGGTACAATGCTGAATACCACCAGCTATAGAGGAGTACAACACCCAGCAATTGTACATTAGACAGCGCAATACAGAATGCCGCCAGCTATTATGTACTATTGCTGGGATTTGTTGTATTCCTCTATAGCTGGCGGTATTCTGCATTGTGCTGTATAATGTACTATTGCTGGGTTTTGTAGTCCTCTATAGCCAGTGCCATTCTGCATTCATTGCTGTATAATTTTACACTTTCCATTTCACTATATTGCACACCACACTATCTTTTTTCTTTTTTACTTCCACAGCTCCAAGCTTGCTCCTGTGATGGAGTGCAATCTCAATACAAACTAGTAGTCCCATCACTGGAGCCATTTTTTAAACTTTATTTTATTGTTTATCCGATTAACCGATTAATCGAACTTAATAATCGGCTAACTAATCGATTTTGAAAATAATCGTTAGCTGCAGCTCTATAATCGATTATGAAAATCATTAGTTGCAGCCCTATATCCAAACGCAGACAAAAAATTTATGTTGCAAGTTATCCATCCTCAGTGGTGGCTCCACTTTTCTTTTTTTTAGGCTGAGTTCACACTTGGGCGTTCGTAATATGCGCGTTTCTACCGCGATTTGCGTTCAGCGGGACAAACGTGCGTTTACAAGGGCTATCCGGCTGTATCCTAATGGATACGCGTGGAAATACGCCCCAGAAGAAGCTCCTGTACTTCTTTGGGCGTAGGGCGTTTTTCAGCGCGTTCCTACGCGCTGAAATACGCCCAGGTGGGAACCATGCCCATAGGAAATAATGGGATTTCACTTGCTGGGCGTTTTACAGCGCGTCGATCAGCGCTTCAAAACGCTTAGGTGTGAACCAGGCCTTAGGCTTTTACCTTTATTTTCACCAGTAAATGGCCTTTACAGGTGGTTCTGCCAGTAAGGGCCTGTTCACATTATATCAGGTCCTGATCAGGTGCGGATCTGCAGACTGATGCAGTGCGTTTTGGCCGCGTTTTTGATGTGTTCCGTACAAAATGTGCCATGCAGTATTTTTCTGTCGTAACCTGAACGGACTGTAGCCCATAAAACAGATAGGGATACATTGGGATGCATTTTGAGTGCAGCAGCGTACGGATCCGGTCAGCACACAAAACGGACGTCGTGTGAACAGGCCCTAACACTTCTGCTAAACACTTTGGCCGGATTCATAGTGTTGCAAAACATGCATTGTATTTGTTAACCTTATTTATTATAAGCATTTATATATAGTGCCATCAATTTATGCAGACCTTTACACCGTGCACATTCACACCAGTTCCTGCCCTCAATGAGCTTACAATCTAAGGTCTCTCTCACATACATACATACATGGCCGATTAAGACAGGAGCCAATAAACCTTACAGAATGTGTGGGAGGAAACCTGAGTACCCGCAGGACACCCATACAAGCACAAGGAGAACATGCAAACTCTTTGCAGATAGTGCCCTGGTCGGTGCTACAAGGCTGAAGGGCTTACCACTACACCACTGTGCTGCCCATATCATTTAAATGGGCTGCCTACCACACCAAAAGGTGCATGTACTATTCTTTGTAAGGCAGCACATTGCAATGGTGAGCTGCATTGGGGTGCCATTTACATTAGAAGACAGTTTACCACCAAAAGCTGCCACACTACAACAGTGTGAGCCTTCTAGTCAGATATCCACCCCTCTCCTATTGTTCATAACAGACGGGTGTGGTGCTGTAGTCCTCAAAGATGGCTAAGAACGATCTAAAGGTGGCCATATACAGTCCAGTTTTTGAGGGACCAGCCGAAAATTGGAGTGCGTGACACTGTCGGCACCATTTTGGTTGGCATCAGCCGATCGAAGGGGCTGGTCGGAAAATCTTCGATCAGAGCTGGCAGCCAATGAGCTGCCCGCTGTGGTCGGGTAATCTGATGGGCCGGTGGGGATTCCTCAAACGACACGCTGTTAATGTTGGAGGAATGGGGTCTGGTTTTTTTTTCCTTCAGTCTGCGGGTCGAATGAAAAAAATAGATCAGTGTATGGCCAGCTTTATTGATAACCCTTGGCACAGAGAACAGGGACTTATCAGCTGAGATGATTTCTGACGGGTTCAACAGGTATTAAACTGGTATAACCAAACGCTTTAAATAGTATGTTTGACAGACAAAAAGTACTCGTACTCGCCCAAATGCTCCGATGCCTAGCCCGATACTTTAGGTATCAGGAAGCCGGGCATTGTGTAATGCTGGTGGGTGGGAAGAAGTGCAGTCTCTTATCATAGCCTGCCACCAATTATTATTTTTTTTACTTTAACTACTTAGCTCCTGTACCTGTATACCCCTTATGGACCAGATCAATGTTTACAATAGCACTATAGGCCTGGGTTTTTTTGTTGATCATTTTGTAAATCTTTTAAGAGAACAAAGGTTTTCTTTTTTCTTAGGGGGTGGGGTTGGGTGACCAAGTTCCATTCTGGCAATATATATTTTGCAAAACTTCCTTGTGAATGCCTTTCTTCCCTCAATTTTACTGTTTGCCTTGCAGTATCCTGTTGAGAATGTATATTAAAACAGTGCTCAGTTCAATCCAACGATGTGCTACAAAAAAACAAAACTTCAGGGCAAATAAGATGCAAACTTGATAAATACATTTAAAAAAGTGAAAAATGTGCATTCAATGAATTCATCCCAAACTGTTTTGAAGAAATCTCAAAGGAAAAGTTTTTAATGAAGTTAAAAGCAGCATCAGGTAGTTTATAGGCAAACGCCTCCTTCCACCACCAGATGCCTAATTCCGCTCCACCTATAGTACCTCTGGTCACAGGCTCTGGAGCAGATAACCCCAGTCAATTAAATCAAGCAGATCATAGGGTAACACTGTTTAGAATAGCCGGGAATACTGAGAGTTGTTAGCTGGGCCTGTGTGATACACGAGTATAAGGATATATGGATAACTACAATACCCTCACCCCTTTCTTTACTCAACCAAGCGTTTCTTCCCGCCCTCCCCATCCCCATTTTTCTTCTATTAATTCATTCTTCGTGTCTATTCAAAATGAACTCAGTTATAAGCAAATATAATCTAAGAACAAGATGCATGTGTATTATGTGAATCTTGGTATGCTTTGTGTAATTCTTCCAGTTCTTTTCAGTAATTTGTGCAGTGTGGTTGGACTTGTTCTGCCACCTCCTGTAGTTTTCTGCAGGCAGCCTGTAGTGGGGGGACCTACTGGGTCCCTCCTACAGCTCTGCTGAGGGGCCACTGTTCAGTTCAGCCAGGTAATGTCACTGTTACTTTAACTAGGTAATATCTGGGTTTGCGAAGGCAATTGGTGCTCACAAGCTGGATTTAATATCATTCGTGACTATTGAATATAAAAAGGTGTACCCGGATCTCAGCTTTAAACTTTAAAACATTGAAAGATTAAAAAAAATGCAACAGTGACCATCAGGCTTTAAAGTGCACTTTTGGAGAATGCGCACATTTTTGCCACTCCCCTTACCGAACATGTCCTACTCTCCTCCTCCTCCGTAGATGCATACTTAACTGAGATTCGGGGCCTCCTGTATTTATTTACATCCCATGCCACAGTCCTCTCAATGCTTGCCCGTGCCTGCACAGTAGAGCTCCATAGACTTCGGTAGATGCAGATAGACTAGCCCTAGATAAGTCTAAGGGCCTCTACAGTTTAGGATTTGTTAGGTCAAGGGAGGGTGCAAAATGAATAAGTGCTCTTCTTATTAGGGCTCATTCATACCCAATGCGTTGGAGCTACAACAAAAGTCATGGCAATTTGTCTTGTTTCAGATGGGCTCGTGTGACACCACTGCGTTGTGGTGTGGCGGAGTGCGCTGAAAAAAAGGATGCAGTACTTTTTTCAGCACACCACAAAGCGACACGGTACAACTGCATTGCCCCACAGTATCCCAGAGAACCTAATGAGATGTCACTTGTGACATTTCAATAAAGCTCTAAGAAAAAAAGTGTGATGCGTCTCGAGCGCATGTGCACTGTGCGGTGTAGTGCGGCTGCTGGCGTGAACGGGCCCTAAAAGTAAGCTCATTCTTTAAGTTATTTCAGACACCTGTATCAGTCTGTGGTTGTGCCTCGTGTTTTCTATGTATGATGTAATTTCACTTGTTGATTATATAAATACAGAATGTTTTGACAGTCCCTAGGTGAACACTGCTTCTGCAAAATGTGAGTGACCATTTTAAGAACATGGGCTGAGTTGTTGGATTGAAGGTTCCAGTGTTTACAAGAACGTCCTGATTATTGTAAGCACTGCCAGGTCAGCAGCCCTTTTTTGGAAAGCCTTTCTGGGTAATCGTACATTGTACGCGTTTTAGGGCTTCATGTTGGGACTCTGAGCTATGTAATGTTTTCTTGTAAAGCCAAAGTTGTTCTTACGTTCTGCCTAACTGTATGCAGGTTGTAATTACTATGCTTTTTACACTGAATTTTTTTTTGTCTTGTATAGTCTGAAACAGGAAGTCCCATGGAGGACCAGCCATCTGGTTATGTGCTCCCTGAAGGAAAAGTGATGCCTAATACTGTTTTTGTTGGGGGCATTGATATTCGGGTGAGTTTTGGTAATTTGTCTGGAGCGTGTTGTTCAAATATTGCTTTGTGAAAATACTGCTACAATTAGGTAATCGAGGAAAACACATGATGGAATATAGTACGCTGCGATCGGCTCTTGATAGAAAAATCTTCAGCATGGAAGCTCCAAACCAGCAGAACTGTCCTACCTTCTTAAGACACCAAGCCAAACTAAGCTTGTCAGCACATTAACCCCTTACGGACAAAGGCCTTTTTTCCTATGTTGTTTACATGTTATAATCCACATTTTAGGCCTGAAAATTACTTAAAACTAGGGCTGGTAATGATTAAAATTTTTGTGTTCGATGAATCCAAATTTTTTTTTTAATCGATTAATTTCGATAAATTTTAACGCACATACAGATCCAACTACATTGGCCTATTCACATACAGCACAGCAATGAAGTAATAAAATGAACTAGGATCACACTAATCCAGCACGTTATTAATCTCATGTGCCCCACTCAATATGGCCGCCACTTGAGTGGGGCAACTCAGAATAATAACGTGCTGGATTAGTGTGATCCTAGTTCATTTTATTACTTCATTGCTGTGCTATATGTGTATAGGCCAATGCCTTGGCTGACGCTCGTGCAGAAAGTTTCTTGGGCAAACTCACCGGCCCAAGTGGTCCAAACACCTGATATATTATGAGGCTAGTAGAATCTAGTGTAAATATTTCCGTATAGCTAACGCAATCTAATCTGCATCTACTGCAGCGTTAACTGACTTCCTTTTTTACTGTTTGACCTTCTAAAAGACACTGACAATAAAAATAATAAAACCCTGAGTTTGTCTAGCCTTTCCCCTTCGCTATTCAAAACCAGAAATATATGTGTGGGCTTGAGTTGCGTTTGTATCGCATTTTCCTGCAGCCCTCTACTGAGAGCCCTAATGGGAGCATCCACCCACATTGTAGAATCCGTGTGCATTATTTCTGTATCTTTCCCTGCCCTTCCAGGAAAGCTGCTCCTACAAATGTTGGTTTAACCTCATTGACGTCAATTATTAGGTGTTCATTAGCATCTAGTGTGTATGAAAGAAAAGAAAGTTTATCCAGAGACATAACTGCCGTGTCCATTAACCCTTTCCTCACCAATGAGGTTAGCACGTGGCTATACTTAACAACCCTTAACAAAACATATAATACTTTGCAAGGCTCGGCACCGATTCAAGAGAGAATCAGGCCAAAGTAGTTAGAAGGTTGGAGTAGCCACTTAGTTCAGTAAAAAATACTTTATTTTAAACAATGCAAATAATTGCACACGAGAAACGGCCATATGACACCAAACCTCCGAGTCCCGGCGGAGATCCGGTGACGTCACGGACATAGACGTCACCGGACTCCTCCCCCTTCCCTTTGTTAGCCGAGACAGCCACTTGGGGAAGGGGGGAGGAGTCCGGTGACGTCTATGTCCGTGTCGTACAGACCCGGAAGGCGGAGAGGTGAGTACCGATCAAAAAAATTTACGATTAATCGTTAATTTCCGCAGCCCTCCTTAAAACCCCCAAACATATATTTTCTGAAAGCCAAGACTCTGTAGAATAAAATGGTGGTAGTTGCAAATTTTTAAGTTGCACGACATTAGCGCAACTTATCAAACCCCACAATTTTGTGAAAAATGCACTTCAGTTAAATTTAGTGCCCTAAAAACACTATAAAACCAGTTAAAAAGAAAAATCTGCGCTGAACCGCCCTCGTGTGAATGGGGCCTTAAATGACATTAAAGCATACATCCCCCCCAAAGTTAATGTCAGCAGTTACCTTAAATGATCTCTTAATCCGATCTTTTCTGTCATTTTCATCTCTCCCTCCAGTGCTGCTGCGGGTCTCCGATCCAGCGCTGACTCCTCTGTGCTTGCTGGCACTTCCTGTCCCACAGTGTGTGCATGCAGGTTCACGCTGTCCATAGACTTACCTTGTGTCTCTCCTCGTCTCCCGGCTGAAAATCTGAACTGCGCCCGCCCCAAGATCCTTTGCGGTCGCCCGGGATTTTTCAGATTTTCGGACGGGAGCTTGCGGTGAAGATACAGGTAAGTATTGACCTGATTGAAAGGGGTTTTTGTTTCTTAAGTTTTTGCATATATCTTCTGCTTGCTAGCAGTAGATATATGCAAAATATATTGTTTTTTTATTTTTTTTTTGCTTCTCTGGGTGATGCACATCTGGGGATGACACAGTGTGCACCACTCTGAAGCTGGAGGACCAACCTGTTGCTACCACCAGGACAATCTCTGATTTTTGCACTCACAGGCGGTGCAAAAACCGCTAAAGTGTTTCTTCATCATTCATTTGATTTTCTGTACAAGAATTGGAAACGGGCTGAATAGTTGTTTCCTTCCATGTGTTGTGCATCCTTCTATCCTCTTAATAAAGATTTTGTTTCAAAGTGTTTTGAAAAC